AGCGCGCGCGGTGGCTCCCGGCAGCCGAGCCAAGCTGCCCTTTCGCCGCCGCTCTACACAGGGCGCTCTGGCATAACTACTGCAGAGGGGCTGCAGGCTCGAGCGCGCTGATTGGCTTCCCAGCAGCCGTCCCCTCTGACTGGCTCTGGGAGAAGTTCCCCAGCCTCACTCCTCCTTCCCGCCGCTCATTGGCTTACAGCCTGGAGGGCTTTTCCCTTTAGGATTTTTGCCTCCTTTTCATCCTTCCTGGGGGCAGGTGGGGGTCCCTGGCTTAGGTGCCCCTCCGCTTCGCCACAGGCCTTCTTTCAGCCTGTGCCAGCTCTTTCCTGGCCAACAGAGCCACACAAGGTATTCCTTCACACAAAATCCACCTCCTCATTCTACTCTCTGAGGAGCTTCCCGCGAACCGTTTTCCTAACGCAGCTCTGACCAGGTTCTCAAAGCCAACCCGCAAATAGTCACGTTCAGGAACAGCCAGGGACCACTGGGCTTTTCACAACCTGCCTCACCTTTGAATACTGTATCTTAAGAGTCTGAAAGCCCCTGTGGCTTGCTAGATTTGATTCAATAGAGCCACACAAAGTCAGAGAAAGCACCTGATTCTGGGGCGTTAAAAGAAAATCTACTGCACGAGAGTCCCAGGTGGCCCTTCAAGAGGCAAAGCCTAACTAGTTACAACGAAATAACCAGGGGCTTAAAGCTAGCCTAACTCATTAGAAAATCATTACACAGCAAATTTATTGAGCCAAAGCTAGCCTATTTCATAGATGGAGTAGAAGGCTATTTGAAAGATCTTCTACACCCAAATCCCAGCTCTCCTGCTTAGATTTCACCATTAGAAATCCAGTTCTTTGAGAATCAAATATCTCTCCGAGGAGGAATACATTTTGGTCATTGCCTATATGCTGGTAAGGAGGGATCTTTAGCATGGATTCTTTTCATGATCCTCCACACCCTACTCCACTAGAGAACTCAATAAGTATTTGTATGATGAAATTACTTAACACCTCTGCATGAATTAGTTTGTCATCTGAGGTTTTGTTTCTGACCTAGGTGAAAGTAGGTTTTGAGGGAGAACCTCAGCACCAGGAAATTGTCTGGGGTGTGCAAGGTCAGGGGAGAGGAGGTTGTGTTCCAGGACCCATGGGCTGAGAAGGGAGACAGAGAGAGGAAGGTCACGGTGGAAGTTCATTTATCCATTTATTCATTCGGTAACAAATATTTGAACTCCTACTGTGTTCCAGGCACTGTAGATTACAAACAGACAATGAGGATACAAAGATTAACCAACCCGTGGTACCTGACCTCAAAGAACTGCAAACTAATGGGGAAAACAACCAAGTCGAATGTTAACCCACTGTGTGAATGCTAAGATAAGAAAGTTCTAAGGGTTACTAAGAGGGGGAATCGGAGAAAGCGTGCCGGAGATGATGACCTAAACTCAGACCAGTAGGAGTTTAGGTGAGACAAGCAGATGGGGAGAAGGGTGCTGAGGCAAAGAAAGCAGTGTAAACAAAGACACTGAGGGGAGAGGGCTTGGCATGGCCCATTTGGAAGGTGGGAGGTGCAAGTAATGATTTCATGTTGGGGAGTTGGAAGAGCTAAGGTGAGAGAGGTAAGCAAGGGCCAGATTATGCAGTCTTGAAGCCATGTGGAGGAGCCTGGGGAACCACTTAAGGAAATTTTCAGCACGGTGGGGGAAGGGGGCGCCGTGATCACATTTGCCTGATTAAAAGATCTCTCCAGCAGCACTGTGGAGAATGGCTTGGAGAAGGAAAATGATTGGAAGCAAGGAGACCAGTTCAGAGGCTGTGAAAATAATTCAGACAAGAAATGATAAAGTCCTGTAGCAGAGAAGATTTGGAAATGGAAAAAAATTACTGGAGATATTTAGCATATAGCGTTAAAAGGGTATAATGACCTAGTGGATATGGGGGATGGGAGAGAAGGAGTCAAGGACGGAGGGCCCATTCACTCTTTTTTCAACAAACATTTGAGTGCGGCCAATGTATCTGGCATTCTTCTCCTACTTCATAATTTTGCCTGGGGCTAGGCCTGCGCCTGCATTGAACATTTGACAAATGACATATCCACTTTAAAAGAAACACCAATTAAGAGTCATAATTTGGCTGGTGAGTTTGATATGTTCCACCTGTGGAGCCCTGTGACCAAAGGGCAGATTGGAAGGCAAGCATTGATTGAATTTCATGACCTTGCAGAGGAAGACATGACCTCCCATAAATTCATGATCTTCCAGAGCTCATGCAACTAACTACAAAGGCAACAGTTGTTTTCAACTACTGGGTATTGAGTACCTGGAAAAAGGGGAATGTGACTTATTTTTAATACATGCCTTTATATTTAATATACTTTGTATGAGCTAGGTCAGTGCTTTCCAAAGTGAAGTGTGTGAATCCCTGGGTTAACTGAAGTGGACCAGTGAAGTTTTTGCTCTTCATTTTAATAAATATTTATTTTAATGGTGGATTAGGAAAAATATATGTAACTAGTACATCCAACCCATGATTTTGTTAGGACAAAACTAAGTAGCTGGTGCCATGATACATTTATTTCAATAAAAATGTGAACTGGTTTGAAGAAAAATATTTAATTGTAATGGGAATATGAAGATATAACAAAATATGTGGGGTGATATGTGAATGACTAGGCTTTGGGCTGTCATAGGCAAGCTGGCCCTGAGGTTTTGGAAAATATTTCTTTGGCCTAAAAGCTTCTGCTGCCCCTCCAAGCGGCTACTTCAGAGCTTTTAGCCAACCTAAGGTAAAAGTTAATAAAACTTGCTAGGTTTAAGGAGTGGTTCCATTTTTATAAGTGCCTCTCAAAGACTTTCTAACCTTCTACTCCCTAAGCGATGACTCTAATAGCAGAATTTCAGGCACTGAAACTGACATGGAGGAAAGCTATGAGCAGCTGTCCGCCCTGCCTACCCAGTAACTTGGAATTTTACTGATGAAAATCCAGTTCCTTAACCAAAGCATACAATTTGTTACATCACATACTATATACTGCCCAAATGGGCGACTGTGAATTAAGACTGGGTTTTCTTTTCCTCTTTTACATAAACAACTGTCTTATCTTTCAAGGTTCCCTTCCTTGTGTTAGAAGTAAGGCCAGTGATTCATCCTTACTCTTCAGCTAGTAGAGACAAAGAGAAACAATCAGTCTAGAAACACAAAAGGATGTGCTGATTGAGCCAGTGTTCACTTTTGACAATTCATGATTCTGTGCTTTCAGGCCCAGTTGGAAGCATTTAGATAACATCGTTGGGCCCCATCTTTCTCTTTGGACCCCAGAGGAAGGCTACCTAGCACAGCAGGCCCAGAAGAACTTTTCTTCACCTTTCGCTCCTAGTCTCCAGTTTGAAAGAATTCGAGAATTCCCAGCTGTAGCCAGCAGCTATTATCTTGCTGTAGCTGGGAGGAGAGTCTGGTTCCATGGCTCCAAAAGCAGCATAAATCAAGTTTTCTGGGAGAGGGTTAAGAAAGGGTGTTCAACAGCTGCCGCCATGGGAGGAGCTCATACACAGCCATGCACGCGGCCACACAGGCACACATTGTTTGTCTTGGGCCCAGTTTCCTTTGCCCCCCAGGTGATGTTCTCCTTTCCCCATATCCCTCAGGTACACAGTATCTTCTGCCCTGAACTCCACTCTCAAAACCTGCTTTCAGAAAAGAAACTTTAAAACTCATCCGTTTACAGTGTATATGGTTGATAGGTTATAATGGGGCTGCCCACCCAGGGGTACAAGTATTTTAACAGGATCAAAGCTTTAAACCAAAGGAACAGAGCTCTAAAAACAGTGGAATTCCAGGCATCCGCCAGTGGGAAGGGAGTGTTTAAACTGAGGGGCAATGAGGCCTTTTTTGGTGCACCTGAAATCACATCATGTAGACAGTTGCTTATATGTTAGACTGGTGCTGCTCACAGTCAACACCTCCCTGGCCACACCTCTGCACTCTGTGGCACACAGCCACTTTGTCTCCCCTTCTCTTGCAGTGTATGACTCCTTTGTGGGGCAGAGGGGAGGGGAGGCGCCAGGCACACTGATCCCAATGCTCCCAAATGTATAAGCTATGATCAGAGAATGAATTATGGTCCTTTGGGAAAGAGTGTTCATTCATCCATCCCAGCCAGCAGGCCAGTGCAATGTAAATGGTAACTTTGTAAGTTGAAAGACTTAGAGCCATTTTGAAAATTGCATAATAATCCCAGGCAGAATTTGGCTCCATGTGTATGGAAAATTAATAGACCCTGCTGAGATGCTTGCATTGTGAGTTGTGGATGGATAGCCTCTCCTCAGACCAGGGACTATGCTTTGCCCTCACTAAATCCACAAAATATACTGAGCTTCTTGTAAGTCAGAGTCCAAGTCTTGAAAAAAACTACTGAAAATTTTATTTGTACCATCATGTTGATTACCACAAATAAAAAATTATTCTATTCTGTGTTTGTTTGTATAAGGGATATTGACTTAGATTTCTAACATATTTCTTCATATCCCAGTCCATTGATTTTCTTTTTGATTGGGCAGATGCACTGTATGTAAATCTAACATTTTGTGTCTCTTGCATAGGATATTTGGTTTTCTATAAAAATTTAAGGGGTTTTAGTTTGGTGATTGAGAGCACAGTAGCTTTAAATCCAAATGCTGGTGATGCCTGAGGCATGGCTTTATGTGCCACATGGCAATTCACACGTACTTTGTTTTGCTTTGAATCATTTTGGACCAAAAAACACAGTGGTTCAGGTAATGTAATATATCTGTTTTGATGTACGATGTATAGAACCTCTAATAATTTCACTAAGATTTTTTCTGGGTCTTTATGCTCTGGAGCCTGGGTCCCCAGTAAGCCAACTGGCATTCAACAGTTGACATCTCACGTGTTTGCTTCCATTAAGGTCCTTTCCTCTCACCAGAGCTCCATGAATTTCAAGCAACTTATCATGGGAAATCAACAGCCACCATCACAGATAACAACTCATATTTTTGATAACTTCTCCCTTCCCCTTCTCAAACCCTATCCACACTCCTAAGTCTTGTGGAATTTCAAAAGTAGCATATCATAAGAAAACCCCATCCCCAGCACCACCTGTAACTCTATAGTCACCATAAAGATTATCCCTTAGGAACTGTGTGTTTTGTTTTGTTTTGTTTGTTTGTTTGTTTTGAGACAGAGTCTCGCTTTGTCGCCCAGGCTGGAGTGCAATAGCACGATCTCGGCTCACTGCCACCTCCACCTCCCAGGTTCAAGTGATTCTCCTGCCACAGCCTCTTGAGTAGCTGGGATTACAGGTGCACACCGCCACGCCTGGCAAATTTTTGTAGTTTTAGTAGAGATGGGTTTCACCATGTTGGTCAGGCTGGTCTCGAACTCCTGACCTTATGATCCGCCCACCTCAGCCTCCCAGAGTGCTGGAATTACAGGCGTGAGCCACTGCGCCTGGCAAGAACTGTGTTCTTGAGAGGCAGTATGGTTGAGACCTGCAGTTAAAGGAGAGGGAGAGAGCAGGTCCAAGCCATTCCATACCCTACCAACCAGGCCCAGGGGCTGCCTGACTTGCGGTACCAACATTGGGGTGACCACTACACTTGCCAAATTGTGCAGCAAATGTATGTTTTCCTATGTATCTCCACAATAACTTGAGAGCTTTAAAAGAGTAGGGATTCATATGCTTCTTTTCTGTACTCCCTGTAGTACAGTGCTACTCAGAGTGCAGTCCGTGTACCTGTGCTGGTCAGTGCCCTGTTTCCTACCAGTCTGTGAATCTGTGACTGCTACCAAGTAAACATTTAGAAACTTTTTTTTTTTTTTTTTTGAGACAGGGTCTTGCCCAGACTGTACTGGAGTGGTATGATCCTGGCTTGCTGTAGCCTTGACCTCCTGAACTCAAGCTATCCTTCCACCTCAGCACCC